ACTGTGTGTAATTTTAGTCAAAATGAGTCAGTGACAAGCATACTATTTTCTTTTTTCCTTCCACTCAGTACAGTATTGACTAGCATTTTCTTTGTCAGTAAATACATGTCTTGTGTTAGTTTACAATCTCTAACACAGATCATTGCAATGCAACTTAGAAAAAGTTTATTTTGGATCACAGCTTGGAAAGTTACCATCCACAGTTCATTGCTGTGGGCCGGAGACCCTGGAAGGAGCCCGTGGGGAGGCGAGCACGGGCTGAGAGCAAAGGAGAGAGAAGGGGCCAGGGTCCCCCACCCTCTCCTTACCTGCCGAGCTCCACTCCTCAGACTCCCTCCGCCTCTTGGGAACGCCAGGCCAGGATCCAGACCTTTGATTCGTGGACCTTGAGGCCGTGTGAGATCCAGGGTCTCAGGAAAGCTGCTCACTGGACTCCGCAGATCTGCGTTTCGCGTGGTGCCTTCCCCGTCTCCACAGGCCCTCGCCAGTGCCTACCGCCACATTTCTTGCTGGCCACACAGGCAGGAGACTAACAGCTGCACTAATTTAGGCGATCTGATAATATGCAGGCGCTGAAGCGCTTAATCACGGAGGGAGACAAGCAGCCGAGTTCCAGGCTGCTCCGCATCAGACATCAGAGTTCGGGATGAAAACATCAGACGCGGAGACAAGAAGAAGCCCGGAAGCTGGAGGAGACGGCACGGCGGGTGCGGTTCTCTCTGTTCTCCTGTTCCTGTCTTTGTTAGCGTTGGCCTCTGTCGTTACTGGTCCAGCTCAGCAGCATCCCCGCATAGCGCCTGCCGGATGTGTGGTTCTGACACCACGCGGCCTTTGTTTCACAGCTCCCTTCCTGGCATAACCCCTATGGGAGAGAGAAACGCAGTGACATTCCTGTTTATTCTGCCAGTTTCTGAATTATTCTTCTGTGCTTCTGCTAAACCCATATATCCAGGTTGTGCCCTTAATGATGTTGCACACCGTGGGTTCCAGTTAGCCTATTTCATGTTATGACCAGAAAGCAAATGTGTTTGGTGAAACCAGATTTTTTTCAAGGCTCAGTACCATTACAGTTTCAGTATCCCTTATCCAAACTGCTGGGGGCCAGAGTGTTTCACACATTTTGGAGTTTTTTACATGTTCTAATATTTGCATAAGCTTTGCCAGCTGAAATCCCTAACCTATACAACTCTAAAATCTGAAACTTTGAATCCAGTGTCAGTGCTCGGAATGTTTCAGATTTGGGGGCATTTTGCGCTGTAGGTTTTCATGTTAGGGGTGCTGCTGCCCTATATGGGAACAATGTAAGGGCACAGAATGATGCTGGGGCTGAGGTGGGAGCTCACTGGAGAGCACCGCTTAGTGTGCATGAGGCCTTGGGTTTAATCTCCAGCACTGCAAGAAACTGCTTTATTCACTGTTTATAGTTCCTAATTATAAAATCGTAGTGCTTGGCATACAGTAGGTGCCTGACACACAGTAAATACTGACTAAGAGTCTGAGAAATGAATACATTAAAAACTAAATTGGCTCGTGTTTTGTGGGCAGAGGGGAATCAGGCTGTTAGCAGAGTTAAGGCTGGGAACAAAGAAGGGTGCTTCAGGAATATTAAGCTGCGTGCATGGAGGTGTAGGAGGGAGGAGTGGTTGCAGGGAGGCCGGTTAGAAGTCGATCACTGCAGCTGAGGTAAGCAATGCTAAGGACCCCACCCGAGGAGGCGTGCTGGGAGTGAATGGGGAGGGGTGGAGGCCCCGGAGGCTCATTTGGCTTGACTGCAGTGGTGAGCAGGTGGTACAGTGGTCGGATACTGAGCTGTGGTCTGTGGGACCCAGTCACTTCCTCAGAGCCCATCCACAAGCAGGGCTTCCACCCAGCAAGCCTTCTGCAGGACACACCATATTGAAGCCATGACACCCTGCTCCCACCCCACTGTCTTACGTCCATCTCATCATGCAAGACGCATTGAATCTGATTACAGAAGTTGCCCTGGGTGTATAAACAGTGCCAGCACTGCTAAACAGTCTAAGTGCAAAGTCTCCTTTGGGACTCGAGGCAGACTCTTTGCTGTGGGCCTCTATTAAAATAAAAAAGTAAGCTATGTCCTCCCAAGATACAGTGTAAACATCCCCATGTCAGGGGAGAGGAGACAGGAGAAAACCAAGGAAGCACTGACCCACGGCCAGCCTAGAACCCAGCAGGGCACACACTCAGTCCTCCGCAGCTGGCGTCCAAGGCACATGGGGGTGAGCTATGGCCCAGAGGGCTCACACAGCCACGCCGTGTGGCCTTTCAGCTGCAGAGCACGGCCTCCCTGGGCTGCTTCTGGTCTGTGGCTTTCCCTGGCCGACAGTCCGTGCTCCTGGTGTCTCCAATTCCAGGGTGTCCATGGCAGCTTCCGCTGCATTCTCACCGTATCACCGGTCATCCTCCCAGGGGCTGCCTGGCCTCCCAGGGTTTTTGTGGAGCACTTGGTGGAAGCTTCCTTGGCCCCGGCTCTTGCATGCTGTGTGACTGCAAACCAGTGTTCAGTGGATCACGCCACCAGCTCCAGCTTGGACCATAGCTGCAGTGAGCTCTGAGTACTGGCGGCCCTGCTATCAGAGTAGAACCTTCCAAAGGAGTTTACACTTTCACATCCTTGAGGCCTGGGGGTGCGGCCTGGCCGATTCCCCACATGCCCTCAAAGCATCTTTCACATATCCCAGAGCAAAGTACTTGCCCCACGCCTACCCCGCCCAGGATCAAACCCAGAGCGGGTTGTTAATGGCACTGATCTCCAACAGCCACACTGTCCTTCGCCCCAAGTTTATATCACACTTCTTTTCTGGCCGCAGTGCAGGCTTTTCGGGTCTTCCCGCTCAGCTTTCTGCTTGCAGTTCTCACTGTAATTCTGGCAAAACGTAGCCAGCAGTACCTGAGCCACAGCCTGTGGGTGCTGTGCTGCCTTGACATTTCCTCCACCGGGTCCATCTCAGCCTTCCGCAGAGGCTCAGGACATGGACAAAGTTGCACCAGTTCTTTACCAAGATGTAAGAGGCCCAGCCTCTCACCCAAGTCCCCTCTGAAATCGCAGGGGTGCGGGCTTTGCTGCCCCCATTCTTGTTGGCATCCTGGTCGTCTCAGCTCATGGCAGTCGCCCGCCAGCTCTGCTCACAGCGTTCTGAGCCTTCTGCAGCCGGCCTCCAGTGTGCTCCAGCTCCCCGCAAACCTTCCCCAAAGGCTCCAAACTGCTCAGGTAGAGTCACAGCAACGGGCAGCTGTTTTCTGCGGTCATCAGCTTTCTGTCACTGACGAAACAGCTTTGAATGAAAAATTGGAGGAAGAAAGGTTGGCTGTGGCTCAGGGTTGCAAGGTTCATTGTCTTCGAGTCTGTTCCCCAGTGCTGTGTGGAGGCAGAAGACCGACCCAGTGCGGTCGGGGAAGCTGCGCTCTCGTGGCCTGGGAGTAAAGCCGAGTGCAGGAGGCCCTCCTGTGTGGCCTGGTGCTGCCCTGCAGTGATGTTTTGAAAAATGAGTCTGCGGAGTGAGTTCAACAGAGAACTTGAACCCCTGCAAACGCCGAGCGGTCCCACTTTTAGAGCCAGTAGTTGCTCCGCTGGTGTTTTCTTCAGTGGAAGCTGGCGCAACAAAGGACTCCACACTGGGCAATAAATATGCATTTATTTCTCCCATTCTGAAGGGAGGAAGCCCTAGTTAGAGTTCCAGCAGATTCAGCGTCGGGGCTTGATCTCCTATGAGAGGGTGAAAGGAAGAAGCAAGAGCTATCATGGACAGGTACAAATTCCCCACGACGAATGCGGTTGTTATGTGTATCTAAAATGTACCAACAGAGTAAAACACACAAAAAACAATAAAAAGAATAAACTCAAAAAAAGAGTGCCTTCTGGTGGCATCCTCACATGATAGAAAGGTAGGCGAGGCACCCGCAGCCTCTCAGAGGGCACTGCTCTCATTCGTGACTTCAGGCCCTGCCTCTTGCTGACTCACCCTGCGTTCGCGGTTTCTGTGCATGCATTCTGAGGAGCGCGAGCTTCTGAACCTAGGCAGACGCCAAGGCTGAGGGAGAAAGCCCAGTCAGCACCACCGCATCCTTGCGCGCTCTACCCTGCTGTTCTCAGCAGGAAGCCTTGTGGTGTTCTTGGTGTATAAACAATAACTCTATGGTTTCCTTTCTAGGTAATATCTTCCTATGACTAATTCTCTTTTAAAGTTAAGTGTGGTTTCCTGATGTGAATGAGTTTGAGTAATAGGTAATGGGATGTTTAGTGAGTGAGTCTGCTGGTCATACTGAGATAAATGGTCACTTCAGTAGCTGTGCAATTCAGCTGCTGTCACAGTCGGTTAGAGAGGAGTGCTCGCGAGATCAGAGCCAGGGCTCAGTGTTGCTCTGTACCTATAGCCTGCCCCTCAAAATGCCCAGGAATGTATGGTCCTGTTCAAGATGCTATCTGGGCGAGATGAATATAACACATTCAGCAGAAATCCAGCCCGTCTTAGGGTACTTCAGTATTTCAGGGTATTTCAGTGACATTGTTTTACATATGAAATAGAATTAATTTATGTGTGAGGCTGTAATATATGACTGTAATTACATGACTTCGTAGTGAAAATCAGTACTGGCTACAAAATAGTGTGCCTGCCTGGCACAGTGTGAGGTTAGTGTGGTGGACCCCGAGTTTATACCCTGTTGTGCTCAGTTCTTCCCAGGATGTGGGTAGAGGTTGGCTCCATTCGAGAAAGTTTGTTCAGCTGTGTCTCTCACTCCTGAACCTGACTGTAGACACAGGACTCACGGGATTGCTTAGCAGTATGCTGTACTTTCCCCCTTAATCCAGATATGTACTTAAATGCATAGCGTGTAGCAAACATGGCTGTAATAGAATGAGAATCATTACATTATAGTTCGAGTTGTAATGACATTTCCATTTAAAATGGCCTTTCTGCACAATCTTTGTTACTAATGTATTTCTTGCACTTAAGATTAGTCTTACTAGGGCTGGGGGTTTAGCTCAGTGGCACAGCGCCTGCTTGGCACGCGCAAGGTCATGAGTTTGATTCCTGGTACTGGAAAAAAAAGAAACAAAAACAAACAAACAAACAAAAAGATTAGTCTTACCAAATTAAGAATGATTATAACTGAACCTCATTGTGATACTGTTCTTTCTGTACTCTCAAGAGACAATATTAAGTGATTTGGAAATAAAGTTTTATGTATAGAAAGTGAAAGCTGTCACCTCAGGGCAATTACTCATGTAAACATAAATACAAGAAAGGCCGTTCAGGATTTTTGTAAGTGTGGTAGGACTCGTGCTTCTGCTTCTGCAAATAGGACCAATGTAAGTGACTGTAGACATAAAATAAGTATCACACAGTGCTGGTGTGCTTTCTGAGCCTGCGGTTTTGCCTTCTGGACTCTTCAGACCCATGTCTTTGCCACTCTTCTTTTTTATCTTTAGCCATCGAAATATGATGACACACAGCTTGTCAGTTACAGTTGTGGAAGAGTATGTTGTCCCTCTGTGGTTTTGCACCTTTCACTTGTGAAGCACTAATCTTTCCTTCGGAATTCGATGCTTAATGTGTGTGTGGATGTGAAGTAGGGCCCTGCGGTTAATATCGGTCGCGTTAATATCCTCAGTTTAATTAGAGCACAGTTTTAAAAGGTGGCCACAGCTTTCTTGCTACATCTATAAGCAAATCAGTTAACTCTGCATACGCGTTTCTTCTCAGCAAAAGGAAGACACTGGTTTGTATGATAGCTGTCAAACCCTGGGTATTTTGGGATTATACTATATGCAAACACAGTCACGTTATCAAACCAGCCTGGAAAAGAATCATTTTGTCGTTTCCAAGCCAGATGAAGCCAGCTTCCTTTTGATCTGGCTCCTTTGAATTATACCGTCAATTGCAAAGTATAGAAAACATCTATGTACTCTGTCATGGATTTGACAGGAACATGAGCTATGTATTAATCCTGGCCTTGAAGTCTACTACTTTTTTTCTCTGTATGTGTGAAGAATTACGATACAATATTATAGCCTAATTAGTGTGTTGAAATCATTTAGCAAATTCTGAAATAATCGTTAGAGAATCTAAAGATAGCAGATTATTCTTTTCCAGTTTTGCATTGAATAGGTTCTCAGCTAAGCTATTAAAATTTAATTTAAGTCAGAAACATTGTTATGAATACTAAAACCATAAGCATTTTGAGTCGGACCCCCTTAGGGTATAACACTGAAGAAATTCGGGTGGCTTTTACCTGCTAGTCTGTGACTTAGAGATGCATTTTCACATGCCACTTTTGACCTTTAATGTCCTCATTCTTCTTCTGTTTATTACAGCTTTAGGAGAATTACTTGAAAAATTCGTGCTTCATCTCACTGAAAATCCATCTGAATGTTACTTCCCCTCAGTGGAATACACAGGTACATTTTTAAATATTTTGAAGTTTGAAAACTCCTCAGCATGAAAACAGATGATGCTTTGTAGAGGAGTGTGACTAGATTTCAAGTCCGTGTGAGTTTTCTCGTCTCACTTGGTGCCACGTGTGTCCTAGACAGCAAGTCCCTGTGGACGCCTTCTGTGTCACTCGGACTCCTGGTATGTGTCCATCAGAAGTCGTGTTTCCTCAGTGTCTTCTTCCGCTCTTCTGGTCTTACTAGGCCTTCTGTGCTCTCTTCCATGCACACTGTTCATGCCTTAGTCGGCTTCCTGTTGCAGCTTCACAGTACCACAGGCCATGCGGGTTACAGAGGAAGGTTTATTTTTCCTCATGTTTTGACATTCAGAAGAGACCAACCATATTCAAACCACAGTGCTCAGCTACCTCATATAAATTGATTGCCTTACAATTTGTGCCTTCTACTCAGACGTCCACTGCAAGCTTCATTCTCGTGATTGCAGCTCCCTGGTGGGTAAGAGTGCCGGGCTGTGTGACACGGCCCTCAAGCCGGGAGTTCCCACAGGACCTTTGCATCACGGGTGCTCATTGCCATGCACTGTCCTGTACGTTCCCCTCTGTGGGCAGCATGGCCCCTGCCGCAGAGCTGGAGCTCGGCTTCCTCAGCCTTTCCGGGTCCACCTTCCCCTCGCGTTGCTGAATTCTCCGTCCCGATGCATTCACCACATCCCGTCTGCCTGGCTCACCCCTCTGCTCGGGTACTGCGCTGGCGCGGCTGTTTCCTCAGCTTGGAGTCCAGCTCCTTCCAGGGTGGTTTTGTTCCCCTGCCCTCGAGTGAACTTGGAAGCACAGCCCTGCCCGCTCCTCCCTCTGAGGTCATCTCTGGGCCCTAGGTCTCGGCTTTGCCTGGACCCCGAGGCCTCGTCTTCCCGCTCCTTCCTCTGCCTCTCGCACCTCCCCTTTCTTCCATGCCTCACGCTTAGTGTTGAAGAACCCTATGCTGTTCACGCCGCCATGGCGTATTTATTTATCCACAAAGAGACGCCACACCCGACTGTCTAGCGCTTTCTAATCCCTGGGACCTGGCCACGGCCCAAGAGAAAACTTGGCCGCATGGAGTTCACTTTAATCCCCGCACGGTGCTGGTGGTCTGGTGCTAAGTGAGGAGGAGCCGAGACGGCCAGGTCCAGGGGATGGTGGTCCGGGGGTTCCCGCACAGACGGTTTTACTCATGTGCAGTATTTGTACTGTAACCAGCCAGGGCCGTGGGAGCAAGACTTGTGAGTGGTTCCGAGGCAAGAGACCTCCCTCAGCACAGCCAGGTGGGCTGACTTGTCTGCGGACGGTGAGGGGGCGGCTGCTGTGCTGCCACTGGAGAGGAGAGGAGAGGAGAGGAGAGGAGAGGGCGCTGTGGGGCCGGGGGTCATTGCACGACTCGCCACCTCATCACGGCCGCCATGCTGAGGGAGGACCGAGGGGAGTCAGGGCCAGAGCAGGGTGACGGAGACTCTGAGATGAGGTGAAAGCTGCGAGGGCTTCCGTGAGGGCGTCCAGGGAGGCCGGTGAGAGGGCCGTGGGTTCTCGGTGAGGCCCACAGGGTGAGGCCCACAGGGTGGGGCCCACAGGGTGCTGACAGGCTGGCCGTGGCCGTCAGGGACAGGAGGAGTGTGCCAGGAGCACAGAGGGAAGGACAGCGCGATGCAGGGGAACAGCGAGTGGGTTTGAGGCGGCGATGAGAGCTGGCTTTCCTGCTGTGTCATGTTTTGGGTCCTCCCTGGAGGGCCAGGCAGACGTGATCTGGGCACGCTGGGCTTGAGAGCCTGGAGTCGCGAGGAGAGACAGGCCCCGGAAATAGGGATCACTAAGCCCCGGCCTTGGCACGTGAAGCCAGGAGCACGTGTGGCTGTCGTGTTCTCCCACTGTGACCAGCGTCGTTGTTCATGTTGCTTTAAACTCTGGTGGGATGGTTTCTGTCTTACGTACCATTGCATCCTTGCACTAGAAAAACGACGTCAACCGGAGCTCACCAAATTAAACAAAGAAAGATAAAGGAACGGGAGAGGGGGTTCCTATCTGTGTCAGTGAATTTATCTCAGATGGTTCATTCTTTCGCCCGTTAAGATTTCTGAGCAGAAGCCTTAGCTATATCTTAGCAGGAGTATTTCAGTGCTGTGTGACGGAGGAAGTGGGCATGGAGTGAAGTCGTCTGGAGGTGAATGTCCAGGACTCAGGGGCAGCAGAAGGAAGAGTGGACAGGGAGGCGGGAGAGCGGGACTCACGGTCACAGATCATCCCGCAGCTGCACTGCTCCCTGGAAGAGAACACGACTCCTCTTTTTGCTGGAGAAACCGTCACTCAAATACGTGTCCTGTGCTCCCGCTACATGCTGTGAGTCATATTTCCATGAAAAGACACTGGAGAATACTACATGTGCTCCCAGTGTGGCCCAGCCCATCTTTCTACTCCTATTACCAGGCAGCCTTGCACGGGCACCTTGTGCTCGAGCCGCCTGCACCTTGAAGCTGCTGTGCCCTCCGGATTCACAGTCCCTCCCTAGGGTGCCCACAGGATGGCGTGAGGTCGGCTGCAGAGGCCCGGCGGGAGCAGCACCTCCTCTCCTCTTCTTGCCCTCTCTGAAAACTGCTGTGTGGGAAGCTCCGTGCTGTCCATGCATGCTTCAGTTGCGCTGTTAGGACTCCAGTGCCTTGGAGCCTTTCCTGTGGCCTCTGATTAAATATACTGCTGTTATCTACCATCTGTTACTCACACAGATACAATCTGAGAGCATTTCTGAACGTATCGATATTTATAAACACAGATGAACCTGTAACTTTTTACACCTAGTAACATCGAACGCAAATTTGGGACAGGGGCCAGAGAAGTGGTAAGAGGATGAAAACAAAGCCGAGAGGAGCGATGTGCGGAAGGCAGGGGGAGAGCTGCCTCTGCTGAGTACCCTGGTGAAGACGTGGTCCACGCGCTTGGCTGCACCGCAGCCTGTGACTGCTGTCTGAGGCCCCATCCGCGTCGTATTTAAAATGAAACCGGCACGAAGGAAAGAAAGCAGGAGTAAAGGTGTTTGGAGCAAAAGCATTTGTGGGGAGAAGTATAGCTGTGAATGAGCCTGAAACTTAGTGAACAGCAGACAGGATGTAGTGACCAGGTCTGCGTAACAGGAAGCAAGGGACGGGGCCCGCGGAGCTCTGCACGGGCACTGGGCATCTCTTCCGTGTTCGGTGTAATAATCTCTAGCGTCTGCCACTCTTCTAGCACATTGTTCTGCTGGGCCGTGGTTTTTGTAAACCATCTAAAATTAAAATTACCTCGTGTGTCTTATTGCAGTACTAGCACAACTGATTGCTCAGTGAGCACGGTTTGCTGCCCTCTGTTCCATTTCTGAATTATGCCAGTGGAATCTCCAGCTTTGGATTTGCTGAATGCATTGTCTAGGCAGGTACACCCAAACGCCGAGGTAGATTCTTTAAAGGCTCTAGGTGAAGACTACCCACCAGAGCATTGCGGAAAGCCGGAGATACAGTGGCTTCCTGTTGATTGATTGTTCAGTGTTTATTGTTGTGATACCCTGAGCTCACTGCTACCGTATTTCCTTCGAAAGGTTGTAGACACCCCCATCCTTTATTGTGTATTTTTTGGCTCGTGGAACAATGGTTTGCTGTTATAAAACTTCACTCTGTTTACTTTAAATAAGCAAAATTTACCTTCTGATATAAAAGATATTTCAAAGCAAGTGCTGGAAAATAGTCTATTTTTTCCATATTTCTTGAAATGAGAAATTGATTGCCTTTTAGAAATGACAGCTTTCTAAACTCTCAGGTAGCTGAAATTAGAATAACACAATCATCCATCTGTTGTTAGCTCCCTCAGGATTTGAGTCCATTGCAAATTTGAGTCCAAATTTGCAAATCTGGAAAAATCAGATTAGTTTGGCTGTTCACACACCCTTAAAGAGAGAAAGAAGAATGAACAGATCAGGTTCTGCACGGTCACAGTGTGCACGCCACACAGGTATCGCCCCAGTCTCGACAGATGCCGCTTTTTGTCAGCGTGTTCCGTGGAAGCAATTGGGTATTTTTCCCACTGTAGTTGCTTCTTCAAAAGGATAAATTAAGCAGCCATTTCAGGGGAACAGATATTTATATTTTATCTCTTTTCATGATGCTAGTTAACCAAAAGGTTGGGAAAAATGAGAAAATCTACCACTGTTTGACCTTTTGAGTATTAAAATATAGTCTTAAAATTTAATATATCGTTTAAACAGCTTTTATAGTTTCTCTGACTACTGGGCAAATACACTCCTGTCTCCCTCCCCTGTGTGGAACATGTGAGTGAAGTACTAGCCTGCTCTGCGAGAGCAGTTGTGCAGCTGGAGCGGAGCGCACCCAGGGACTGTGCACCCAGGGCCGGGCGAGGTGGAAACCCAGACGTGAAGAGAAGCTGGCGCTCTCCAGCTGTTACTTGGTCCTGGGCAGCGTGCTGGTGCCTTGAATGTGCTGCTGTGGTCGGCTGGTGCCCATGGGGCTTCGTTAGAAGGAAGGGCCAATGGGAGGCCTCCGCTGTGGGCTGTGCCATGGGGAAGAGGAGCCGTCAGAGTGGCACTGTGAGACACTGGGACGGAAAGAAACAGAATGGGGAGGTCGGGGCGTGCAGAGCCAGGCAGGGGAAGAGCAGGCTCTCCCCACAGGCCTCTGGCTGTGCCTGGCAGGCATCTGGATGCGCGTGGGCGCCGGGCACAGGTGTGCAGCTCTAGGGCAGGGAGAACGGAGTGCAGTGGACGAGCGAGTGCAGACCAAGGAGGCCCTGGCGCTCACGCAGGCTTAGAAGAGGAGGGTGAGCGCGGTGCCCGCCAGCTTCCCTGGGGCCGGTCCTCTGCCTTCCGCAGGTGGCGGGGCTTCGGGAGCAGCGGGCAGCTACGCAGCGACTTCTGCCCTCTGTGGCCGCGTCCTCGGCACACAGTCTTTATTTTCTGTAAACTTTCTTCTGCACCATTAACCAAGAGTGGGCAGA